GAGCTATTACAACTTAGCCTAATTTGGTAGCTAACCTGGTCAGAAATCAACTGCACCTTGCTTTGGAAATCTCCCAGCAACTTTCTCTCCCTGCCTACTGAACTACCCCCCCAGAGCTAGCCCTCTCAGTGGGGGAGTACAGCCCCCTTCTCTCACCAGAAACACCCAAAGAGAAGGATTTCTCTGTGTTAGCACCATCACTGCAGTCAGTACCTCATTGTCTTTAATAACTTTACTCTCACACACTCCAGGGAGGCAGACCAGTGCTGTTACACTCCTGTTCTTACACAGAAGGGCCTACACAGGTGAAGGTCCAGATTTTAATGCTATGTCAGGGTTGTTCAACTCAGCGTTACAAGACCTAAGTGGCAAAGAGCCCTTAGGAGCCTGTCGAAGACCAGGACCCTGAAAGCTTCCCTGGGCATGTTGTAGAAAGCAACCACATGACGTTTTTCAGGAAGCAGAGACTGCAGAGGGCAAACAAGGCTTGTTGCTCAGCAGTGATCTTGCAATGACTATGGAAGCACTACAGATGGGCCCTTAGGTACCCAGGACTCCAGTCTCACTGAAAATCAGTCAAGTGCTGAAATCACTGTAGAAAATGAGGCCTAGCTATCTAAGACACTTAGGCCTTGCAGTGCTGTGTAAGATTATTCTTCAATACCTTTAAAAAACAGAGTCTTAATGCCTTGCCCAGAGTCAGACAGAGGGAGCCTGTGCTAGGTGAAGGAATTGAATCCTGGTTTCCTAAGATTTAGGCCAGTGCCCCAAACACTGGGCTGGCCTTCCCCTTGGGTCAGGTGGAGAAAGAGGTAGGACCACACATTCTCACCTGCATGAGCCAGGTCTTAAAAAACTCCAAGGATGGAGCTTCCACCACTTCTCTGGGTAACCTGTTCCAGTGTTTTACTACTCTCCTAGTAAGAAACTTTTTCCTAATATCTAACCTAAACTTCCCTTGCTGCAACCTGAAACCATTGCTCCTTGTTCTGTCATCTGCTACCACTGAGAACAGTCTAGCTCCATCCTCTTTCAAACCCCCCTTCAGGTAGTTGAAGGCTGCTATTAAATCTCCCCTCAGTCTTCTCTTCTCCAAACTAAATAAGCCCAATTTCCTCAGCCTCTCCTCAAAAGTCATGTGCCCCCTAATCATTTTTGTTGTCTTGTGTTGGACTCTCTCCAATGTGTCCACATCCTTTCTGTAGTGGGGAACCCAAAACTAGACACAGGAGGTGAGCAGCCAACTGTGGCAGCAAAACAGGTTAGGAACTATTTAGAAAAACTGGATGTGTACAAGTCCATGGCACTGGACAGGATGCACCCAAAGGTGCTGAGGGAGTTGGCTGATATGATTGCAGCGCCACTGGCCATCACTGAAAACTCATGGCGATTGGGAGAGGTCCCGGACAATTGGAAAAGGGCAGATATAGTGCCCATATTTAAGAAAGGGAAAAAGGAGGGTCCAGAGAACTACAGATCCGTCAGCCTCACTTCAGTTGCTGGAAAAATCATGGAGCAGATCCTTAAGGAATCCATTGTTACCGTGCTGTCGTTTAGTACTTCCTTTTGGAAGTACTAAAAGATGGTGCAGTAACACCCATAGCATCATGTGTAGACAAACCCAGTGATTAAATCCACTGCACAGTAAAGCATCTTGTGTAGACGCGACCAGTAAGTTTAAAGCTAACCAAAGGAAGTTCTTTTTCATGCAGCATGTAATTACAGTGTCAAACTCCTTGCCACCAGGTGTTGTGGAAGCTGACTGTTCAGCCAGTTTAAAAAAAAAGATTGGACGCATTCTTGGAGGAAAGGAGCACCAGTAGCTATTGAGCACGGGAGTTAGGGATACAATCTCTGGACAGTAAATGTTGGAGCTGGCAAGTGAGAGAGGCACAGTGGAAAAGCCTGGTCAGACCCAGTTCACTTGCCCTTTCAGCATCCATTCTGTGCTACTGTGTGACACAGAATAATGGGCAAGATGGATCTATGGTCTGACCCAGTAAATGACAGTTCTTATGTTCTAGATGTCATCGGTGCTGCCTTCTAATGATTGTTTTAAAGAAAAAAAAGAGTTCTCTGCCCAGCCAGGAGCTAACTGGGACCTGTCCCTGACCCAGAAAGTTCCTGGCCAGCCCCAGGCTACGCAGGGAAGTCTTCATGTGCAGCCCTGAGCTGGCTGGGAACTGCCCAAAGCAGTACTGTCCCCAGCCACCTCCAGGCTGCAGGTACAGACTTCACTGCACAGTCCAGGGCTTTCCAGGAGCTGTCCTGGTCAGGGGCAGGTCCCAGCCCTGCAGATTGTTTCCAGCCCTGTGCCCCAATAGGGCAGTCAAAGTCCAGGGCTTGGAAAGAGTTGCAGGACAGGGGCAGGTCCCAGCCCCCTGCCCCAATCCACTGGTGGAGCAGCTAGCAGCAAACCTCCAGATGGGTGGGGAATCCCCTCCCAGCCAGGGGCTCACTGTTTACTGCTAGCTGCCCCACCAGCAGATCATAGATTCATAGGGCTGCCAGACAGACTTTCTCAAGAGGGGAACTGATGGACTATGAAAATAGGCAAAGAAAGCAATTAAGTAGTGGACACAAAATAGAGTTGAGGAATCAGTTTATTGTGTGGATAAATGACGAAAAGAAAGACCTAGGTCAGCGGGAAGGATGGCACGAAAGAAGAGAAGAGCCAGTCTGGGAAAAGGAGAAAAGAGAAGGGAGCTAGTAGGTGAGCAGAGGTCAAGAAAGAAGAGGGATTAAGGGGAAACAAAAGACACTATCTGCAGACAAGAAAGGAAAAATCAGACTCTGAGAAAAGACAGGTTTAGATTATAGTGACTCTCTTGTAAGAAGGATAGATAGACCAATCTAAAGGAAGGCTGGGAGAATGAAAAGGATGTGGAAAGATACAAGATGTGGAATTATAGGTGATGGGAGAAGCAAGAGTCGAGTAATTGCTCTTCGCATAGGGCCAAATGATATGAGCCAATACTCTGTTAACAAGGATCAGGAATGACTCTTCTAGGCTGGGTAAGTTGCTGAAAGAGGTAGAAGCTCAAGTGATATTCAGTGAGATAGAACAAGATAATGAAAATTAATGAATGGCCCAAGGATTGGTGCAGTTGGGAAGGCTATGGGATGTTTGATTATTAGCAGGCATTAATGGAAGTAAGGCTTTTTTCCAGGGCCTGGCTCCACTTCAGTAAGTAAGAAATAGTCTTCTAAGATGACAGTGGCCCAACTGATAAGAAGACAATTAGGAGCTCAGGGGAGAAGGCTGGGAAGAACCCTCAGAATCTCCACCTTGGGAATAATGGAAAATGAGGCAATGGGAAAATTGAATAAATGAGGAAGAAGCCAAGGAGAGAAGCGTACCAAGAAAGGGGAAGAGAAATGGAAGGCAGACAGGTATTTCAAGTATACATATTTAAACTAGGAAGTTAGGTAAGGTTAAGAGGAAACAACAGCAAAGTTTGTATATCAGTGACAAGAGTCTGGGCAATAAAATGGAGGAACTGTAACTCCTGGTGTGGAACATGAAACCAGACATTATCAGAGAAACAGAAACATGGCAAAATGGTAACCTATAGGAAGTTAAAGGAGCTTGGTTTGTCTAGCTCAGCCAAATCAAGGTTGAGGGGGAATATGATTACCTTTTCGCAATATATTCATGGGGTGGCTACTGGGGAAGGAGATGAGTTATTTAAGTTGAAGAACATTATCGGCATGAGATCAAATTACTATAAATTGGTTGAGGACAAACTTAGACTCAACACAAGATTTCTAATGGTTTGAGGATTCAAGAGGGTTAACCCTTTCTGACCCCTCCCCACAACAGCACCCTGTTTCTGCCAGCGCATGGCCCCTGCACCAAGTGCTGCCACCAGCCAGGCTCTACCAACCTCTCCCATCCCCACTGCTGCAGACAGAGCTGCTGCAAGGACGGTGCTGTATGCAGGGGGGTGGGAGGCAGGGATTTGAGACACTACTGTGTTTCCCTCTGGAATGCTTTATAGGCTTGGGGGTTTGGTTTGGATTCTCTGCCTTCCTCTGAAGAACTGGACACTGATTACAGCTAAAGGTGGGAGTGGGGACTGGGGCAGTCTTGTTCTCCCACTTGTATTTAGAAACCTCCCAGGTATCCTGCTAGAGAGTTGTGCTTCTGTCCAGGATCAAATGAAAAGTCAGATTTAGAGTCAGGAAAGAACTTTTCTTCCAGACCAGATTGGGAAGCACTAGGGGAGTTTTGCCTTTCTCTCCTGTGTGAGGCATGATTTTGGGGGATCCTCTGAGAATAAACTTACCAATTGCTTCTCTGCCACAGCAGTGGCAGGGCATTGACAGTGTCTGGGCCCCCTGCCTGGACACAGAGTAGGTGTTTTCTCTTTGTGCAGTGCTTTGTGATTGTCAAGTGAGAAGGGCTGGAGTGGATGATTTAAGGGACTCTGGATAAATGGTTGTCTGCAAAGGCAGGGACTGGATCAAATGGTTTGAGAGGCCTTTCCCAGTCCCATATACCTATTTCTGAGTCAGCACTGCCAACACTATATCTATCAGAATTAGTAGGAGAGTCACTGTCTTTCACCCAAATGGTTATGCTGAAATTCTGTCTGTCCTACCTCTAGCTCTGTCGTTGGCCTGCTCTGTGAGCTGTGGGGAGGTGCCCTGGTCAGTGCTTCAGTCAGTTCCCTTGTGTGTGGAATAGGGACAGTGAGCTTTACTCACCTTTCCAAAGCCTGGTGATTCTTGAGATGTAATTGCTGTGACCATTAAAGATGATGGGGCCCTTTTCACAAGGCCTGGGGTTCTTACCCCTGTGATCTGGCCAGATTCCAGTGTAGATTACTCTCTGCCATCTGAAATTCTCCTGGGGCTGTGTCCAAGGATGGGAATGTTCTTGTCCTGCTAACGCCATTGTAATGGCTGCAGTTATCATTCCCCTCCCTTCCCAGCTGCAAGCATTCCCATGGTAGGTGACACAAGTCTCTCCCCCAGTATATTTAAAATGCAGTGACATTTCACAGATTGTCATATAGCATTTATTGCAGTGGCTAACACTGGACTGACTTTATTTTAACATTTGAGTGGTTGGAACATGCAGTACATTCTCCCCATGTGGTTACTGGTTGCTTATGTTCTTGATTGGTTGAAATCCTTCTGCAAGGCTCTCTAGTCATAACTCAAGGAGGATAGTGTCAACAGGGTTGACTTGAACTCCTTCTCTGGTGTGGAGCCTTCCTATGGAGAAGGTTGCTGTATGCAACTACAGTGTGTGTGTAGAAGGGGGTTCAGTCTCCTTTAGCCATGGAGCTGGGGGCATGGCTGGGAATCTGCAGGGGCACAGGCATGAGTGTTCCTGCTCCTCCCCACCAGGGCGCTGGTATCCTTTTTACTCAGCAGCTTTCTAATGGCTAAGCTCCAGTTACATTCACGGGCCAGATCTCTTGCTAGTGTAAATCAGTGTAGCTTTGCTGACCATTGGCTTTAAAGGAGTTAGGTCAATTTCCACCAGCTGATGACTTAGACTCTCCATTCTCCTGTGACCCCCACTCCCTGCCTTAATTTTTGTCAAGAAAGGGTTCACAAGAGCCTCTGTACATCTCTTGTGCTGTCATTACAGGAAAGGGGTTTCAGAGCACTCTGCCTGTGAGGTTAGCTAGACAACTGGTGCTCTAGTGCTGCCAGGGCAGGAAGACATCTCCCCCACTGCTGGTTTGGAGAGTGCAGAGCAGGGTGTGGGGGAAATTAGCCTTGCAGTTGGGACACCAAGTGTTGATGATTCCTCTTTCTTCTACCTCCCTTGTTACTCAGAATGGAGAGATCACCATGCTGGGAGAGATCACTCATCTGCAGGGCATCATTGATGACCTGGTGGTGCTGACAGCAGAACCACACAAACTGCCCCCAGCCAGCGAGCAGGTAAGAGACTGTGCAGGGAGCAGGAGAGGAGGGGGAGAAGGGGAAGTGGATGGATCAGGGGCCAGGGAGGAGGGGAAGGCTTGCAGAAGGACTGGCACTATTTCCAGTAGAGAACAGCAGGCACTGAGGGCACTTGCCCTGATGCTCATGGCAGATTTCACTGGAGGGGAACCAAAACACTTAATAAACCAGCACTTAACCCAGCCCTGCCTTCTTCTTCCTTCAGGTGATCAAAGATCTGAAAGGCTCTGACTACAGCTGGTCCTACCAGACTCCACCATCCTCTCCCAGCAGTTCTGGCTCTCGCAAGTCAAGCATGTGCAGGTATGTACAGTGTGGCTGGTAGGAAGTTTAGCACAATGGACAAGCCAGACTTCAGCTAGGACATAGCAGGGCCAGTTCTCAGCAAGCTTGCTGAGGATCCGGGCAAAGGGGGCCCTGCTTTTAGCAAGAGGCTTTATATTCTGGTTCTCAAGGTTGCAGCTAAAGAGACATTCTACTTGTCTAGAAGGGCTGGGCACAGCCTGCAGGGTGCTGGCTGTGGAGAGCTGGCTGCTAATCTTAGCACCAGTCCTGAGTTACCTTAGGCAAATCACTGAATTTCTCTATGCCTCAGTTAACTCCTCTGGTGAATGAGGCTCATGATGCTTTGAGCTACGTGGTTGGCAAGTGCTAAATGACTATAAACCTCGAAGTGTTTGAATTCTCAGCTGGGACCTCAGCAGCATAGAAGAACTGGCTTCCATTTAGCTTTCCCGGCACAGGAAGAAAAAGGCGTGTTTCTAAATGCACTTAAGAATATATATGTGCAGCAGATGCTAATTAATCATTAGAGCATTGTGCTGAAGATTACCAACAAATCCATATCAATGGCATGGGGTTTAATCCTCTACGAGATACCATGCTTTTTATAATCAGTACTTTTCATATGCATCCCATTTAGGGTCACTCCAAAGGAGATGCATTGTAAAAATCTTAAGAGCCTCAGAGAGGGTTTTCTAAAATGCTTTGGGATCAAATAATATAGTTAAAAATTAGTTGAACCTCCCTATATTTCTTCTGGTCCTCGCTCCTCTGCCTTGTGGAGTGTGTGATTACCCTGTATCCACCAACACCCCTGGAAAGTATGTAGGCTCAGAGACAGGATAAGCGCCCCTGTGAAAAGGCCTAGAGCGGTGATTTGCAACCAGGGTGCCACAGCACCCTGGGTGCCTTGAGATCCTTTCATGTGTGCCATGAGGTGCCACGCGCTGTGATGTGTGCAAACATGATTCACAGGGGATACCCATGGATTTCAGCTAGGAATCCATAGTGTTAGAAACATTCTGACCTGTTGTGGTCTTTCTGAGTTCCTTGGCAATAGAAGAACTGCTCTTCTATTTTTCCATAGCCAAAAAACAAGAGACGACTAAGAGCTGTGATTTTCCAAGAGTTCCTGAAGTCTAACAAGGAGGGTCTTGAGTTTAAAAAGTGTGAGAATCACTGCCCTAGAATCTGCACCCCACACCCGCCTTCTCCCATATATGGAATTTGCCTTGCAAATCTCCTTTTGCCACCCAACTGTACTCCAGAATCTCAGCTGCCTTTAGAATATAGTTTCCCACCCTCATGGTTGCAAAGAAAAACCTGAAAGCATGAGTGAAGTGTTTGTAGACAGTTTGAAACAATAGCTCAGAGAGATGCGGGATGGCCTCATTCATCCCACCTAGGTATTAACCTGGATGTTGAAGATGAGTATCTGCAGCACAGTAAAGCCTGGAAATGTGGAACCAGCCAATAGTGAGAAGAGATGCATTATTGATCTGGGGCAGGACTGCTGTTCCAGTTCTAGTGCTTGTTTTCGTACTGGATTCAGTAGAAACCCTCCTTTTCTAATAAAGCTGAAACCACTGCAGAACTCCCCCCAGGCTGCCGCAGAATGTGTCACAGAATCTAAGCCTAGATTGCCAGGGGACCTCCAGTCCTGCCAGCAAAACTCTGAGTGCCTGAACACTCCAAGCCCCTCTGCAGCAGCAGGACCCGCAGCTCTGCCAGCAGAGTTATATCACCTCTGGCCAGTAGGGTAAGATTTCTCCCATTGCTTAGGAGCTACCTGAAGGCACATGCAGACACACCTGCGCCTCCTGCCCACTGCCACGGTCCTTTTAGAAGCTGATGCCATTGTAGAGGGAGTTTGGTGCTCTGGTGACACAGCTTGTGTAGGGGAGCTGAGGAGCTCACAGATCATATTTTATCTGGTGGTTTGGCAGGGATGGCTGCTGGTTCTTGTTACACCTTCCTGCTGCCAGAGCAGGTAACTCTGGTTATGGCATAGACGGAAGAAAATCTGAGTCTCTTTGAGACCTTGTCTATGGTTCTGTGCAGTGATGATCCCAGACACAACAGTGGTGGGGCTGGTGCTGTACTCTGACAGGGTCCATAATAAGAAAAGACCATATATACTAGGGCCATCTGTTGCTTTAGAATGAAGCCAAGCTGGTTCTCTCTCAGTGTGCAGAGACTCTAGCCTGTGCTAAAGGGCTGAGAAGGAGGAGATGGGGTTTGCTGTGGCTATGGCACACCAGCCAATTTGCACAGATGTTAGGAAAGGTTTAGGCCCTGGGTGCTCAATCCGTTGTGCCTCAGTTTCCCCATGTGTGAACCCGGCATTAATGCCACCTGCCAGCCCTAGTAGGGTACTGTGAGATCTGTGGAGGAACCATGTCCTGGGTGCCCATCTGACTGACTCACTAGGCATTCTGCGGTGCCTCCACCACCCCCATCACTTCCCCCCTGGGCCATGATGTCCCATCTGGCCAGGGCCAGGGAGGGGGCAACAGTCTGTTCCAGCTAGCAGAGCGGCAGGAACCCATGGCAGGGGCTGTGCATGCTGCATGGAGGCAGAGCCTGGCCTGCCTTACAGCCCGATGTGAACAAGCGTGACTCCTTCCCCACCCTCCCTCCCTGACTGACACTGTTCTGTAACTCAGTTCCTCTTGTGGATGAAGTCGTGTGATGGACCTTTGTCTTAAACTGTCTTTTCCTTCCTTTGCCCTCCTTGCACCCCCTGTTGCCCTGATAACATGCATCGTCTCTCCTGATTGCCGCTTTCCTCCCCCTGCCCATCCTCCCTGCTCATCCCCCTCCCCAACTTGCTCCCTCCACCGCCACCCCTCAGCAGTGTTAACAGTACAAAGGGTGGCACCTCTTGGCCTGGCGGGTCTCAAACATGCTCACCAAGTTCCACCTATCGCTACCGCAGCCTGGCGCAGCCGGTCAATGCCAACACCCGCCTGTCCAGCATCTCGTCCCATGACTCCGGCTTCATCTCCCAGGATGCCATGTACTCCAAGCCGCCTTCTCCAATGCCTTCTGACATCACCAGTCAGGTAAGGGTGGGAATGGCCTTAAGAGGGTGCTCTTGACAGGCCAAGATGTGGTGCCTGAGCTCATCCAAGCTCCACCAAGTGAACGTCCTCCACATTCTGTAGGTTCAGGTTGAAAAGCAAGGGGAAAGCCATGGTTCATGGGAGCCATGGCATATACCATGTGATCACACTCATCAGAAAAGCAGTGTGGGACACTATTGCTTTTGTGAGCAGGCTGTCTAATGGCACTTCCCATTGTGCGTGATATGGCATGGCTACCCTCCAAAAATATGAAGGCACTGTGGGCAAGGCACAGTGCATCAGCCAGGCTCCATGCACAGTCCCAGTCATGTCTGTGGGACTGGCTCCACCAGCTTTGTGCTTCTGAGCAGGGGCAGGAACATACAGGGTGAATGTACTAAACCAATGTCACTAACACGGGACAGCTTTACTGCAGGGGGCGGGGCAGGGAGCGGGAGCATTTAGATTAGAAGCTGTGTTGAAGTGATTGAGGCAGACTGATGTCTGGTAGCATGTCTTGCCCAGGGGATTACTGACAGGGGTAGAGAGGCAGGCATTGCCTGCTTTCCTTTGAATGGCCTCTTTTTCCACCTATGCAGAATCATTGCAATGTGCAGAGGGCCTAGTGAGGAACCTGAGGCCAAGGGTACTCATGACATCCTGCATTGTCTCTCAGAAATCTTGGGCTTGTCCAGGCAGGTGGAATGCTGTAGATGTTGCAGTGTGGGAGGAGGGCCCAGGGAGGGGGTGTTATTTTAGTTATGATCTGCTTCCCCTGGCTCAGGAGGTTCTCTGTAAGGTTGGAGAAACCTTTCAGCTAGATGTAGCTCCTGCCTCATTTCTGTCCCATGAAAAAAGGGCATGTCCATTGAGGCTCCAGCAATCTGCTGCTGCAGCCTGGTGCAGAGGGTGTGGGAAAGGGTCATGTGAACGATCCACAGGTCATTGGCACTGTACAGGTGCCCACTGTCAGTGCTCTGTTTGTGTCCTTTTGCCTTGATCTGTGAGTAATGCAGCAACTGGCAAGGAGGGTGGAGTACAAGGTATGTTACTTCTCTGCACTTGTGTCGGATGCAAAGGCGGATAGTTGTAGATGTGGAATGTGTACATGGAATGTAGGTATGAGTATTGGATGAGTTATGGGGGGAGTGTATATGATGTGTGTGCACATGTGTATGCAGTATGCATCTGGTATGTGGTATCCTTATGTAGGAAGTGTGAGGTTTGTATGTTGTGTGTGTGCAGAGTGTGCATACGGTACAGGGTGGGTGGAGGGTAGGCAACAACATGCACATGTGCTAGAGTATATTTATGATATTGTGGGGGAGATGTGGTGGGGTGGGGTGGGGTGTATGAAGAGAGGTGTGTGTGTGTGTGTGACTGATTATAGAATAAGGGTTGGATGGGACCTCATGGGTGTGTTGCAACTTCCAGGGACCCTTCTCCAGCCCCACTGCTGTAGGTTTACCAGTGAGTAAAAGCCAAATAGAAACCAAATAGCCTTTATTCACTGTCACTTATTGGGTCAGTCCAACCGACAGAAGGAATACTTGCCAGTGTCCTGAAAACATACGGCTTTATATATTTATTTATCTTTGAACTGTCCAATCACAGCACATGGATGCACAGAGCTAGATATTATTCCTTTCTCTTGACTGAACATAGAGTGGGATAGACAACTGAGGTCACTCATGGCTGAAGAGCACCTGGAGGAGGATACTAGGGGAGCTGAGTTGCACTCATGCCACACAGTTCTCTGTTGTGTGCTCCGTCCTGCTGCTACAGTACTAGGCACTTCACAAAAAATGGAAGGGGTAGATGTGGGAGGTACGGGGTGGGTGACTGCTCCTGAGAAGTCCATGTGCAGTAGGCAGGCCTAGGGGTTGGTATGTGTAGTAGAAGTGTGTTACCTGGGGTCAGAAGGCTGTGTCTAAGGAGTGTGGGTGATGTACATGTGTTGGAGATTATTGCAGTGTTGGTAGCTGTACAGATGATGTGTGGTATGAGTGTGGCACACTGTGTGGCTGGTGACATCCGCAGAGTATATGTGTCTGCATGTGTGTGTGCACAGTGTAGGGCTGCCTGTATCTAACACCATGCATGGGTCCTCCCAGCTCTGCCTCTGCAGCTGGCACTGGTACTGAGGCTGCCTGTCTTATGCTTGGGTGTGCAGTTCTCTTTCGTCTCGTGCTGCATGCCTTTGGCTTTTTAACCAGGTGTGTTCTCTCCCCTCTCTGTGTGTTCATTTGACTTGCTCCCGCTGATCGGACTTTGGGCATGGCAGAAGTCCTCCAGCTCCGCATCCTCTGAGGCCTCGGAAACCTGCCAGTCAGTTAGCGAATGCAGCTCCCCCACATCGGTTAGTTCTAGCTCTACCGCAGGGGCGTGGTCAGGTGGTGAAAAGGTGAAGCCTTCATCAGCAAAGTCACTCTCTCTCTCATTTTCTCTCTCTCTCTCTCTGACTCCCTCTCACTGTCCCCGGGGTGGTATGTTTCCCATGCAGATCTCCTGTTGGCAGTCTGTTCACATGATGCGTGTACAAAGTACCCTGTGGGCCTCTTGGGAGATGTACCTCACATACCATTAACTTCCCTCACCTCCCCCTCCATCGCCACTCAAGGGCTGCCCCATCCATTGGTTGGCCTGGCAGTCTAACCTTGGCGTGAACTTGGCTGTCCCTCTCCCCACTACCTACCCTGCTGCTCAGGCCCACACATGTTGACACAGGATTTGTATGTCTGAGCCCCGCACATGCTGTCCACGTTGGGGGAGACCTGGGCTTTGGGTTATCCTCCTGCCCCCCTTATTGCGTTACCTTTGAAACTTATGAGCGTAGCTCGTTGTGCCAGACTGAAGGAAACTCCAAAGGAAGCCTGAGGCTCTCTCCCTATTGGAGAGTCATGCAAACGTCAGACGTTGGGTCACATCTAACATACCTCTGCATGGGGTTGTGGCTTCATTCTCCTTGCCTCATATGCTTCTGAATTCTGTTTGTGGAGGAGTCACACTTTACTCTGGCAGGTAACTCAGGGTTTTGCTGTGTTGCCAGCACTGAGTGGTTTTTAAAGAACCTGGCAATGCCTTGCATGTGGCTGGTAGCCTGGTGATATTTTCCTCTGGCTAGGTGATGGGGCAATAGGTTTTAGACTCATCTTACCCAACTGTAGGTCTTTATCCTGGGCTGTGTGGCAAGCAGCTCAGAAGGAAGGCAAAGGGAGATGCTCTGCTGTTGTGTTTTCAGTGCTGAATCCTAGCTGCCAGCCTCCCCGTCTCCCCTTCGGAGCTGCTCCAGTTCATGCAAAATGGGGGTTGAGTGAGGTAGGAGCAATTAGGGGCAAGGCCACTTGGGTTCGTGATTGAAGGCTTGAATCCAACCTGGGCCTGTCTCTACTATTCTCTGAGCAGCCCCAACACTTGCTGAGGAGCACCTGACCACAGCACTCAGGGCTGACCTACCGCCGCTCCAGTAGCCTCAGTCTGACAATTCCACTAATGGGCCATTGGCCTCCAGGTCTGCTCACTCTTTGTTCCACCGCCTGAGGAATCACAGGTGTCCTCCCTCCAGCCCTTCCAGAGCTGTTCCTTGATTTCATGGAGTTCATGGAGCAGAGCCTTCATGCCCTGCCTTGCCATTCAGGACAGTAATGCCCCCTATCCCCTCACTCCCTTTTCCTGTCTTCTCTGGACCCAGGACCTGTGATTTTTCATGTCAGATCCTCATCATCCTGCCAGTGCCTCTGCTGCTTGGCACCCTTCACTGCTTATCTTGTCAGCCCACCAGTAATGAGTCCTGGGAGCATGTCACCTTCTCAGCAGATGCTGGCGAGAGACTTACATGAGCAAGAAGCTTTGTGCTTGGAGCCCCGTCAGCTGCCACAACAGAGAAACACTGCTGTGTAGGCCTCATTCCAGCACTCGTTGCACATCCCAGTCATATTACCTCTCGCCAGTCACCCACGTTCCACAAGTATCCTTCCTCCTCCACCTCCAGGACTTCCCCGTAACCCTCCCTTACTTACATCTCCAGCCATCTGCAGCCTCACCTGCTGTACATGTGGGAAGGGCATGTGGGACCACTGTGCAATGGGCACAGCCCCAGTCTAGAAGGAGGGAAAGGAACAGTGCAGACTGTGCAGTGAGCAAAGATGCCATTTCACTGGGCATGCAGGGCCAGGATAGTGAGTGTGCTGATCACAAATGGGCCTAAAATCCTGAGGAGGAAAACATGAGGGTGCAAGAAGGACCTGGTGGAGCAGACAGCAAATGGGTAAGGAGTGAAGCCGGAGGAGGCCCGAGGCTGGAGGGGTGCAGCACAGGGAGGCACAAGAAAGAAGGGGTTTGTATCTTCTCTACTTGGGGGGTTACCGGTAAAGTTTATCTATAGACCTTGGGCTGAATGGCCCATTCTGGCTCACTCTTCTGGCCCTTTGGAACCCCCTCCCATGAACTTCACCCCCAACACATACATGATCTTCATACCTTGCTAAGTGTCCTCAGAGAGAGGCCTCTGTAATCCACAAGGAAGGGAAGATAAAGGCCCCTGGTAGATGTTAATTTAATGGTGTGATGGGACCTGATCCCACATCCCAGCAATTTTGAGTCCTGTTGTGTCATACATGCATGGCTGGATATGTAATTCTTGGGATCAGGGATCAGATCTACTTGCTGGTGCATGTGGAACCCAGGCTCCCAGTCCTGGGCTCCACATGCATTTGCTTTTTATAGTTTCATAGTTGGTAGGGTCGGAAGGGACCTGAGCAGATCATCAAGTCTGACCCCCTGCCATGGCAGGAAAAACTACTGGGGTCAAACGACCCCAGCAAGGTGTTCGTCTAACCTCCTCTTAAAGACCCCCAGGGAAGGAGCCAGCACCACTTCGCTTGGAAGTTGGTTCCAGGTCCTAGCTGCCCTGATTGTGAAATAGTGCCTCCTAATATCTGGTCTGAATCTACCCTCTGCCAGCTTGTGACCGTTATTTCTAGTCACTCCTGGTAGTGCTCAGGGAAACAGGGACTCCCCCAATGCCTGCTGGTCCCCTCTGACTAGTTTGTAACAGGCCACCAGGTCCCCCCTCAGCCTTCTCTTGTGGAGGCTGAACAGGTTCAGGTCCCTTAGCCTCTCCTCGCAGGGCCTGCCGTGCTGCCCCCTGATCATGTGGGTGGCCCTCCTCTGAACCCTCTCAATGCTGTCCACATCCCTTCTGAAGTGCGTTGCCCAGAACTGGACGCAGTACTCCAACTGCAGCCTGAACAGTGCCGCATAGCGGGGGAGTATCACCTCCTTGGACCTGCTTGAGATGCATCTGTGGATGCATGAAAAGGTGTGGTTGGCCTTCCTGACCGCGTCCCCACACTGTCGGCCCATGTTCATTTTGGCATCATTAATGATTCCAAGATCCTTTCCTGCCTCTGCACTGACAAGAAGGGAGTTCCCCAGCCTGTAGGTATGCTGCTGGTTC